AGTAACCCAGCATCTGTCTTCCCTTCCATCTTCGTGTCCCCTTGTCTGCCTCTGACCCTCCTGCCTGCCTCTCAGGAGGACCTGTGGTGACATTAGGCCCACCTGGATCATCCAGGATTATCTCCCATTTTCAAGATCCTTAACGTAATCACATCTGCCAAGTCCATTTTGCCACAGTAAGGTCACAGGTTCTCAAGATCAGAACGTGGATGCATGTGGCAAGCTGGCTCCGGCCACCTGGGGCTGGCCCGTGTTCACAGTTGATGTGGATCGCATGGTCACTTCTGTCTGTCCTTGGGAGGCTTCCTTGCCCACCACAACTCCCTGGACTGGGCAGTGTTCGTCCTTGCTCTGGCGCTCCTCCTTTGCCCTGGGCTGGCTGATGCCCCTGTAGGCAGTCGGCGCTGCGCCCTGGGGACGGTCTTTTTCACGGTGACTCCAGGCGGCCGTGCCAACCTTGCCTTCTGAATCCTATCCTAGATTCCGTCCCTCTAATGAAAAGCTGGGTGGCAGGGTGGTCACTGTCAGGAGCAGACCCTTCTCTGCTGCTCCGACAACCTCTGGTAATGCACGTGTGACGTGGACATTGGCTGGCACTCTTGGAGAGGCCGCCACCCCCACTGGCCCTGAGGTTAGAGGCTGGCTCCCCCACGTAGTGCTGGGGAAATGGCTTCAGTGTCCCCAACAAATCTCCCCCCACTTCACCAGATCTCCCCTCTTCTCCATGGCCTTTAAGACCCTCCTTCCGGGAGGGATTAACGCTCCCTGGAGCAGAGAGATGAGCTCACGGGAGGGACCGGGGTGCAAAGGTGCGGAGCAGTGTAAGAAGAATAGGCTGGTGCGGTGGGAGGAGATGGTGAGTAGGTAGAAGATCCCAAGAGAAAGCTGAAACAGGGACGGACTGGCAGGATGGTTGGGAGTCCTAGCCATGCAGGTCAGCCTGACTGGATGAATGAGCTGCGCTTGCCAGGCCCATGATGGGCTGTGGTTCGGGAGAGGAGGTGTTCACCTCACCTTGGGAGGGGACTCCCCAGACCAAGGGCATTCTCAGCCCAGAAGGGCCCATGGCATCAACACAATTCATCGCTATTGATGTTGACCTTGATCACATGGCTGAGGTCGCTTTTGTCGGTGTCATCCTTACACTGAAAAGTAATTCTTCAATTACTTTGTCGGTCCATTCTAGGGTTAACCCCTCCCCTGTTTCCATCATGTCCCCTTTGGGAGGAAGTCCTTGTGCCCAGCCCACCTAAGGACTGGGGAGTTAGGCTCCACCTCCTTGACTCGGGATCATCTATGTAAATTACGGGTTTTTTTTTTTTTGAAGGGAAGATTTGCCTCTTCTACATTTATTAGTCAATCATAGGTATACATGTTTTAATAACTTTTCAAATTTCTTCATGACACGTAGCTCGACAGATAGGGAAAGATGGATCCAAATTTCATTACACAGTACATTTCAGAAATTGAAAAACTGTTCATACCTTGGTGTGTTCGGGATTCATTCCAAAGGCTTTTAGGCTGCTCTGTCATTGAGAATTGCTAATCACAAAAACTCTGAGTGGTCATGCAGAATGAGCTCATCCAAGTAGCCCAAGGTCCATTTCTTGGTCTTTGGCATCACTATGTTTCCAATGTTTACTTCAAATTCCACTCTTTTAACACAAAATGTACCCCAAGAGGGGCTGGAGAACCAAGCCACACCCTAAGGGAGTTTGGAAAATTCTAGATATTTCAAACTTGCTCTTGAGAGGAAGGCCTGCAGTGGAGTCCATGTGTGCTGGGGGCCAAAACTGACTGGGAGTTCTCCCCCCCAAAACCCCAGTTTTTAAAGGGTATGTAATACAAATGTGCAAAATTGAAGCTTATATAAATATTATTAAAACACAACAGGAACTGTACTAACTTGTAAGCCAAATCTGGCTGGCTGCCTGTTTGGGTATAGCCAGTGAGTGACCAGTGATTTTCACATTTTAAATGGAAAAAAATCAACAGAAGAATATTTCAGGATGTGTGAAAATTACATGAAATTGACATTTCAGCGGCCTTCCTGAAAGTCCTACACACAGCCTTGTTCAATGGTATATTGTCTGTGGCTGTTTTTGTGCAAGGACAGCAGAATCCCGTAGTTGTGACAGAGGCTGAATGGCTTGAAAAATGTAAAGTATTTACTATCTGGCCTTTCACAGAGTAAGCCGGCCAACCCCTCATTTACTGCTTAGACCAGTAAAAGCCTTTTTCGTGGAGGACAATTGTATCAATGATGTGGCTTAGCCTCGCCGGCTCGTGGTGAGGGAGAGCAGGAGGACCTTGTGGACAGAGCAGCCACCGTGGATGTTACCAAGGGATTTCCCGCCGGCCAGGGCCTAGCCAGGGCAGGGGGTGGTGGCGCCGTCCCAGGTGCAGGCAATGGGCACAGGGGGAGTCCCTGGTTTTAGAGATCAGAACACTATCAAACCAACTACGTCGGTCTCCCCCTTATTCCCCTGAGCCGGCATGTGTGCATAAATACAGGGGGACCCAATCCTTCTACCACCTTGACTGCAGGTGGCAGAAAGCTAACTTGAATGAGCTGGAGAGCTGGGACCATTCACTGTCGTTGTTCTGCAGGACATGGGGTTGGCTGGGCTTTGGGACACTTGGCTTTCCTGGATCTGCCTCACCTGGCACATAGGCCTTGGTGCTCAGACCAGTTTTGCTACAAGAAGCCGTGCCTAGCAGGCTGCTATCAGCCAGGTGCAGCCCTGAGGCAGGGCCCATGGAAGGAAGGAACTCCCATGTCCAGGTTAAGAGTTGGAGAATGGCCAGGAAGCATCTGATTGGTAGGGAGAGTGGAGACAAGGATGGGCAGAAAGAGCTTGGAAAGGGGCGCCTGGGTGGCTCAGTGGGTTAAACATCTGCTTTCGCCTCAGGGCGTGATCCCAGGGTCCTGGGATCAAGCAGGGAGCCTGCTTCTCCCTCTGCCTGCCGCTCCCCCTGCTTGTGCTCTCTGTGTCTGTCAAACGAATGAATAAAATTTAAAAAAAAGTTTGGAAAGGCAATACATCTTTGACCCAAGAAAGGAAAATGTTCAGATAGCCTTTGAGTTCTTTTTAAGCCTAGACCTCCTTGTATATTTCCCACCTGTTTCCCCCATAGCCTCTCAATATGCTTGTTTTTTGCCCTTGATCAGTTCCAAACCTCTCTTTTACAGACCCTCCCCCAGCCAGCCCCTCCCTTCAATGTAATCCTCATCCCCCACCTCACATGCCTTCAGCAGGTGCAGGTGATGATGATGATGAAGCACGAGATGTTGAGAGCCTGTTGCTGTTCCATACGCATTTATGAACTGGAGAGACAAGTACTGCCCTCCCTCTTTCGGACTGAAATTCCACCAGCCTAAGAACCCCAGGATTAACCCTGGCGTCTGGCTAAGCAGGTTTCTTTACCCACCGCACCAGGAACCCCGAGGCAGCTCACCTGACAAAGGTAAAGAGCGAGCTTTCATCGGATTTTGTGGAAAGTGGAGTTTGGGTGAAGGCTGAAAGAAGCAGTGTTTCCACGGGCTTGGGGGCAAAGCAGGGCCATGTGGGAAGGGATCAACATCAGGTCAGGCCTGCAAAGGGGACCGGCTTCTGTTCTCTTGGGAACCGCAAAGCTATTCTGGAGCTCTGCACCTGGGTTGCAAATCCAGGCTCTTCTCTGGCAAAGTTGGTTTAAATTCTCCAGGCGGGAGCAGGAAGTTTCATTCCTAATGATGGAATGTCAAACAGCAAAGTTGTTGCTGATCTATGATTTTGGAGTTCAAAGTTCTTTTTCAGTAAAACATTCATTAATCGGGGCCCTTGGGTGGCTCAGTCTGTTAGGTGTCTGCCTTACAGTCAGGTCATGATCCCGGGGTCCTGGGATCTGCCCCTTGTCCCGCTCCCCACTCATCGGAAAGCCTGCTGCTTCCCCTCCCTCTGCCTGCCGCTTCCCCTGCTTGTGCTCTCTCTCTGTCAGGTAAATAAATAAAACCTTTAAAAAAAAAAAAAACATTTATTACTCAAAGGGATCGTTATGATACTTTACAGGTGCAGCCATGTGTCCTTGAGAAATAATCTTCCTTGTGAACTTTAGGAACAGTTGAAAACCACCAGCTGGCTTTCCCTATGTCTGTCATTGGGGCCTGATGAATAGCCCAGCTGATCTTGGGCTACTAGCTCTCAGTCTAGGGGCAGGACAGGTATTTGGGCATTAAGTGCTCCATTGGCTCCAGTAGGGAGCAGGGGGAATGGGCTGGAGGAGACAAAGAGGCCAGGAAGGAGGCTGTTCTTGCAGTCTGGCCTGGAGAGGGGCCTCCTGGGGACTTGGAGAGAAAGGGGGTGGATGCAGGAGCTATCTTGGAAGTAAAACAGAACCCGGAGGAAGAGGGAGGAGGCGTGGGAGGTGCTGACATGCACTAAGGAAGGAAGTAAAGAGCGGTTTTGGAGGGAAGAGGCTGAGTTTCGGCTGGGCTGAATTTCGGGTGCAGCCTTGTGGAGATGCCTGATAAGCAAACATATGGGGTCAAAGTGCAGGCTTGGGGCTTAGCACAGCAGACAGGTGGAATAGAAGTCATGAGGAAGGCTGTTAGGGAGGGATGCGCAGCCTGGGGAGAGCAGCGGGAGGACCTCCAGCAAAGCAGAAGCCAGTGGAGCCTGGGTGAAAACTACCTGGGAGAGAGGAAGAGAGAAGCCAGGGACTAGTGACTCGGATGCCCAGAAAGGAGGGCTTTAATAATGAGGAGGATGCGCACTGTGAAAGTGCCTGCTGGACTTAGGGACAAGCTGCCGGGGCCAGGTTTCAGGGGTTTGAGGAATGAAGGGAAGGGAAGTGGGAATGAAGGGGGTGGGGGCCAGGGAGAGTCTTTATCAAGGCTGGAACAGACGTTTTTTTCTTCTCTGTTTTCTTTTAGAGAGAGAGAGAGAGTGGGCTGGGGGACAGCAGCAGAGGGAGAGAGCGAAGTGGACTCCCCACTGAGCGCGGGGCTTGACCCCACGACCCCGAGATCACAACCTGAGCTGAAACTCAAGAGTGGGACGCTTAACCGACTGAGCCACCCAGGCGCCCCGTGGGCACGTTTAAATGCTGCTGGGAAGGAGGAGATGAGAATGCAGGCAGAGGACCTGGTTACCCGGAGGAGGTAAGGGGGCGGGGGGGGGGGGGGGAGGGGGGGCGCAAGCTCCGGCTCAGGAGGCTGCACTCTGTTTAGGTGGGAGGGGCCCCTGGCCAAAACCAGAGGTGGCAGGGCGAGGGGTGTCACAGGAGAGCTGCCTGGGTCCGGATCCGCAGGAGCGTCCCGCAGCGGGTTACCCGCCTCTTCCCTCACTGTCTCCACTGGGCCCACTACCCTCTGTCCCAGCCGTTCCCACGGCCCAGCTGCTTCTCTCGACCCCAGCCCAGACTCCCCCCCTGTCCCCAGCTGCTACTCTCTTTCCTAGTCCGCCTTCCAGCTCCTCCCCAGCCGCACCCGCGGGAACCCCACCCCGCCCAGGCGCTCCTTCCGGCCTGCGGGCCCCGCCCCGCCCCATGAGGTGCATGGCCATTGGCTGGGTTCCTTCTAGGGCTCGGCCCCCTCAGCTTCCACGTCTGCTATTGGGGTAGATAGCTGCCCGTCAGCGCCCTCGCCTGGCAACGGGGGCGGGCTGCTTCAAGGGAAAATCCATGCCGGCGACCCGACTGGCCCATTCCGGTGGGTGCTGGGGCGGTGGGCTGCGGTGAGCTGAGCGGGGGCGCTGGCCCAGTGGCCGGGAGGGAGCAGCCGATCCCGGGGAGGCGGGGGGGAATCGGGGGCGATGGCACCAGACACGGGAGAGAACGGTGCCTGGAGTGGGCCTTGGCCCTGCCCCCCTGGCTGCCCGCTCCTCTTGGCCCCAGGGTGGGAGAGGTGGGGGGCCCTCGGGACAGCTGCGCGGGAGGGAGGGAGGGTCTCCCCGTGTGGTCAGTCGGAGCGCAAAATCATCCCGCATCTTCTGCCTTTCGCGTGGTCAAGATCAGAGGGTCCCCAGAGTTGCTGCCCGTTTGGGGGAGGGGCAGTGAGAGAGGCGGCATAGACGCGGGAAGACCTGGGGAGCATCTGTGGGAGGAGGCATCAGGGGGTTTATACTGGACTGTGGGTGGGGTTGGGGGTTGCTGTACTGATCACATTTTACTAGTTTTGTCCCAGGAGAGTGGAGCTGGTGGCTAAACCTAGCACAGAGGGGAGAAAAACAAAACCACTCCCAGGCTAACACCCGGGCAGATGAGTCAGCGGGGCTCCCTGGAGGAAGGGAAGCCAGCCTAGGGGAGAACAGGACCGGTCCAGCACCTTTCGACCAGCAGGGAGTCTGCCCCCGCCCCAGCTGACCCTTTGCAGAAAGGCTCCTGATGCTGGGATGTAAACGGCTTGAAGTCCGGATGTCCAGATACGGTGGTTGAACTCTCAGCAGAAAGGGGGCACTGAGGGCCAGGTGACTGCGGTCAGGACAGTGGCCCCTTGGATGTTGGCAGGCCAGAGGGGGAGAGCACCCCGAGGACAGGAGCCAGGTGGGGAGGCTCTGAGGACTGACAGGTATCCTAGGACGCCAGCCGGAAGCGCAGCTCCGTTCTGCAGGAAAACTGTTGGCTCTCCCCCAGCACTGAGGGCATTGCTTGCTTCCAAGCTGGGCTGCTTCCCTTGTTCCTGCGCAGGGATTCAAACTTGCCTTGCTTGGGCCCATCTGTCTCCATCTCTGGACCCCAGAAAGCAGAATTAAACGCCCTGCGTTAACCTGATTTAATCGCTTCTACCTCATTATGGGGCTGGTGGTACTTTCCTCATTATACTAAAGTTGGAAAAGGCTTGGTAACTTGCCCATAGTCCTCAAACCAACTAGTGTCAGAACTTGACCTCAGGGCTGCCCGTCTTTGCTTCCACCGTGAGGGCAGAGCCCAGAGGGCAGAGCCCAGGGCCTCTGTGCCGAGAGGCAAGCATTAAGGATCATCTGGGCGTTTCAGTGCCCGCCCTTCAGCTCTGCCCCACTGCTCGGCATCTTGGAAAACCAGTTTGTCACCTTAAGCCCTACTAACATTTGGGGCCGGGTAATCTGTGGGGGCTGTCCTGTGTGGTGTAGGATAGTTAGCACCCCTGCTTTCTACCCACTAAATGCTCTTATCACAACCAAGCCTCACTGCCGGATGTGCCCTGCGGAACAGAACGACCCCCAGAGGAGAACCCCTGATGCAAGGAGTCTTAAAGTAACATGGAGGTGCTTCCTCCTGAAAGAGAACTTGATATACGTAAACTTCCAGAAGGCTCAGGCCAGCGTAGGGTTGTTTTGTGCACAACTTGCCAGGAAAACGGGCTGTCCTACTTAGGGAGGCACACCTGGGGTGGTCCCAGGAGAAAACCATTGACAGGGACTGAAAGTTAGTTCAGGAAGTTGTATTTGGGGAGACATAGGGGCGCATCACAGGCCTTCATTTCTTCCCTAGAGTTGATTGGAGAGACTTTGGGCAGGACCACCGTGACTGAGGCTGGGACGGACGAAGTGGGGGGTGGGGACGCCTGCTGCAGTTGCTGTTCCTTCATCCTGCCCCTGCCCCTGCCCTGGGAGCTGTTGGCCATTGCGCCCCCTCCCGAGCGCTCCGGGGACGCCAGGAACACTGGTACGGAGCCCGGGGCCCTTCTCTGAAGCTGCTGTCCTCCCTGCCCTCCTGACTCCAGGCCCGTAGCTCCTGCCTGAGGCTTCTCTCCCCCTTCCCCTCCTGGATTGCTAGCATGCCTGTTCCCGAGCCTTCCCTGGTGTCTCCTCCTGGCGCTGCCCTGTGCCCACCCCACTCTGATGGTCTGCACCTCCCCTGTCTGTGTGGGCGGCTTGCCCGTCCCTGCTCCTTCCCCGCAGCAATCAGGGCCCCCAGGAGGGCTGGCCAGGCTGCTCTGTTTTCAGCCAACACTGGAGGAACCTGTTCTGGCGGGTCAGCGGAGGAGGTTGGGGTGGGCTGGGCAGGGGCAGACCAGGGGGTCTTGCTCTGTAGCCTCTGGTTCCCCTCCCCACACCAGGCCTCAGTGATCATGGTTTGCACCCGGCCCCTTTGCGCGCACAGTCCCCACTGCCCAGGTGAGGCACCTGTGGGTGCCTGAAGACCCAGCCGGAATGTGTCCTTCGGGACATTTTTGACTCTGGACTCCTGTGTTCTGACCTGGATCCCCACTGACCCGGCTGCGCTTGTCTGTCTCTCCCCGGTGAACGGAACGTTCCTGCAGGCCGGCGCCTGCCTGAGGCTCTTCTGCTCTGTGACGGGGCCTGGCCCTGGGGGACACGGAGTCACTGATGCAAGGAGTAGATGCAGGAGGGCCCGCATGCTGGAGGAGGCGTGATCTGTGGCCCCTTAGTGGCACAGCCCCCACGTGCACTGTTTCCTCCCCTGGGACATGGAAACTAAGAGTGGTCTTTTAGCTCCAGGTGTCCCCCTTAAAGAGACTGGCATCCCGCTGGTAGAGCGATTCCCTGACTTTGAGCAGGGCGGGCTCAGGATTTGGGGGATCGGGAGGCAAGGCGGGGTCAGATGGCATCAGTGGTAAAGCGAGCCGGAGGTGGCTCGGCTGGACCTCCCGTCCTCGCCGCTGGCTCTCCCTGGTGGCTTTTGCGCTAGCACATGGAATCGCATGTGTGGAGTCCCTGCTGTGGTTTGGGCCTGGTGGGGGCATGGGCTGCAGGAATGAGGGCATCCTGGAGCCCATCCCTGGGTGGGGGACGGGTCGTGGTGGTTGAGCGAGTGGCGCTAATCCAAGGGGCCTCTGAGTGCAGTAGGGGTTGGGAGCGGGTCCCGGTGGGGGAGCACCTGGGCTCTTTCAGCACCCGGGGCCGGGCCGGCCTGGAATTTGTATATGGGAGCCCAGCAGGCAGGTGGAGAAGGGGCTGGTTCACCTGACCGGCTGGCCCGGGATGCCATGGCGCCGGGCCTGCGTGCCCCAGGTGGCTCAGGTGCTAGGCCGGTGGTTGGAGGACAGAGTCTCTTGGGACTTACAGGTTTGAGCAGGCAAGTCAGGCATGAACCTGGAGAGGGGGGGGGGGGGGGGGGGAAGGGGGGGGGGGGGGGGTCCTGTGCCCCATTTCAGTTGAGGCGACTGTCCATTCTAGGAAGGTCAGGAACACCAAGCAGGCTTGGAACCCGAAGGCTATGTAGGGTGGTGGTGTGCAGAGGTGGACGGTGAGGGCCCTCTGAGCCAGAGAGGGGACTAGACTCTGATGTCCCGAGTGGACCACATGCCTCCGTTAGAGTCCAGCTCTGACGTGATGCTGTGCTGATCTCTCAAATCTTCCCCCTCCCAGGTGCTGGCGAGACCTTCATCCCTTCTAGCGTTTCGGTAAGTCTCGGGCCTTCGCTCACAAACCTTAAGGTTTTCTGGGAGTGAAAAAGTTGATATCTTTGGCAGGAAGCCCCCATCTGAGTGAAATAGAATCACTAGGGTTGCATTTTTATATATTTACCATTTTCGGGACTTCAGCAGAATAACAAAACGAGGGGCCCAGGGAGAGTTGGGTGACAATGATCCGGTGTTTTCTTGGCGGTTGGTTGGGCCGTGCCCCTGGAGGGGACCAAGCACCAGCTGACACAGTCCCCACTGTGTCAGAGACAGGGAGAGCCTCACGCAGGCTGGCCCTTGAGCCCAGGGCTGTAGGTTTTTCTTCTTGGCTGTCATGCTGCTGAGAACCTTGAGGAGTGGAAGCATCTAGATCAGGTGGCCTGTGAGTGAGAGCCCCAGGCTGGCCTGTGTGAGCTCTCCTCTCCAGCTGCCTGTGCACGTGGGCCGAGGTCCCTGTCCGAGTCCTGGCCGGCGTCGTCCTCTGCAGGGCCGATGGGTCCCCTGCCAGGATGGCTGGGTGGTAGCATCACGCAAGATACGGAGAGATTGGCGCCCTTGTGCTTTGCTGCTGGGAATGGAAAACGGAACACCGTTTGGTGGCTCCTCGCAAATGAAACATTGGATTACCGTACGACCCGGGGCCTCTCGGTTCCCAGGTCTGTACCCCACAATCTGAAAACAGGGACGCAAACAAGTCTGTGTGCCCTCTGTTCGTGGCAGCACTATTCACGATACCCGGTAGGTAGAGATGGCCCAACTGTCCAACAACAGATGAACGGGTAAACCCAACGTGGTTGGGCCATGGATGGGCCTCGAAAACCATATGCTGATGGGAAGAGACCAGACCCACAAGGCCACAGGTCGTGTCGTTCCATGTATGTGGACTGTCTGGAAGGGGGACACCCACAGACACTGCACATGAGTGGCCCCAGGGGCTGGGGGATGGGGTGGGGAGTGACTGCTATGGACGCGAGGTGTCCTTTGGGGGCGACGAAAACATTTCGGAGCTGGGTAGAGGTGGTGGTTGCACCACACTGTGAATGCACTAAATGCTGCAGAATTGTTGATTTTAAAGTGGTTAGTTTCACGTTAAGTGAATCTCCCCTCAGTAAGAAGGAAGAAAAATTGGAACTGTACCCCGTTTCCTTTTGGGGGATTGATCAGCCAGATCTTGGGGGCCTGGGCTGGCCTGCCCTCCCCTTCCCGGCTCCCCGCCTTGACGTGGCGGGAGGCTGTTCACTCCTGGGCTGGGGGAGAAGGTGTTTTTCTCTCCAGCAGTTTCACCGACGCCGGCTTCCAGGTGAAGTCTAAGGATGGAAGGAATAAGCCACTGCACTTGGCCTCTTAAGATATTTTTTTTCCTCTCTGTGCTTTTCTGTTTGACTCCCAGATCTGACAGCACTCAACCCCTTTCTGTAATGGGGTCTGTGACAATGAACAAGGCCCCTGGGCCTTGGGGTGCCTGTCTCTGGCTGTCCCTTGAAGGTCACGGGCACCTTCTCAGCCCTTTGCTTGGACTAACTCACCCAGTGGTCACCCCGACCTCTGTCGGAGGGTGTGCTGATTGCCATTTCACACAGGAGGACGTGGAGGCACGGAAGCTTCTGGAACCCGCCCCAGCCCTTGTAGCTGCTGGGGGCGGAGCCAGGATCACAGGGCAGAGCTGGCCCAGTCCCACGCTTGCTTCCTAGGTGGTATTTTCAAGGTGTCGATTTTACTCAAATACGTGTGATCAGCCAGCCTTACAGACTTGTTTCAAGTTAGGTTTTGAAAATAAGAGTATTTCGATGAAGATACTGATTTTTCTACCTTTTAGGTACATTAGTGTACCTAAATTGTGTTTTCAGATAAAGAAATCCAGACTGCTTGGCGAGCACGCATGTGCCTGCAGAGACCCCAGGCCTCGGGGGCCGGTTTTCTCGCCAGATTTGCATTCACTCCCTGATGTAGCTCTGATGAGTTTTAGCCACTTTTTTGCAGCTAACTCAATATTGAGTAATTGACCATGTATCCTAACCAACATTTATTCTCTGTGAGCTCTCTAACTTGATCTCTAATGTGGTGTCTTCTGCAGAGAATTGTGCCAGATACGAGGAGAGATGGGGAACAGCAGAAGCCAGTCGGGGCAGAAGTTTTGCTCACGGTTTCTTCCTGAGGAGCAGGCGGAGATCGATAGACTCTTTGATGCTCTGTCGTCGGAGACGCACAGCCCCAGTACCTCGCCCCGATCCTTCTCTCTGAAGGCGCTAAAGGCAAGAGCCACACGTGGCTTTTAGTGGGTGGGCTTGAGCAGGTGCTGCGCGCTGGGGCCCTCGGGCCTGAAGCAGCTCTCTGTCGTGGTCCGACGCAACACTGCCAAGTGCATTCTCTGGAAAAGGCAGGTGGTCTGCATCTTCTGTGTTGCAGGATGCAGGGTCTGTCTCAGCTGCTCTGCTCCATCTCTGTAGTGCCATGTTTTGGGGGACACTTCTACCTTGAGATCGACCAAAGGGGCCAGCCCTGTGTCCCGTCTCTTAAAACTTTGTCCCCTGATTTCCCTCTGAGACCGGGTGACCGGCTGCTTTAGCGGGGTTCGTGGGTCCAGTAACCACGGTTTCAAGTGTACTTTGCCTTCAGATGTATTTGTGAATGTTTGATGTCCTAGGATTTTTCTGGCACTCCTAACAAAATAATGAAGTTTCACATTTAAGTTTTACCTGCCAAGGGGTTAAAATTGCCTGTTTCCCCCATCTTTTCACCCTGTTCCATGGGGCTTTTTTTTTTTTTTTTTTTTAAGATTTTTATTTATTTATCTGAGACAGAGCGCACAAGCAGGGACGAGGGTCAGAGGCGGAGAGAGAAGCAGACTCTCCGCTGAGCAGGGAGCCTGATGCAGGGCTTGATCCCAGGACCTGAGCCAAAGGCAGACACTTAACTGACTGAGCCATCTAGGTGCCCCTCCATGGGATTTTTTTTAACAGCATGTTTGAGTGCCCAGACTGAGCAAGACAGTGGCAAAGAGACTCCACCAGCCCATCTTCCTGGGTGATGGGGAAGGGCTGTATCAGGGGAAGGCAATCTAGTAGCCGCCTCCTCTAGAATGTGCCGAGTGGGAGCTGGTGGGGGCCTTGGGGATCCCCCAACATGCTCACTTCAAAGATGAGGGAGGTTATCGGGGTCATAGCCACGTGGGTGTGTGCATGTGCGCGTGTACATGTGGGTGTATATGGATCTCCACTAGACCCAGGCACCCACGAAGCTGAAGCAGGCAGGACCAGCCAGACCAATGAAAGGCTTGAGGGCAGGGTGGGTAACAGTGTTCATGTGTGTGTATCACCGTACGGAGGGTGAAAAGTTGGTCAGAAAACCCTGGTGACTGAAGAAAGTTTCTTCGGGAGTAGCAGCAGAGGTTGCTTTTTCAGGATAACCTGGAAAACACTGACAAATAGGAATGAGCTTGGGAACCTGCCTTACGAGAGCCTCTGAATATCCGTGCTGTCCCAGACTCCAGACACAGCGAGCCGTTGGAAAGAACCCGGTTTTCAGACCCTGCTCGGAGGAAGCTCATGATTCAGTTTGTGATTTGCTGTTTCTGTCCATCTTTTTGTAATCCCTGGAGCAAATCACAGTGCATGTTGGAGTAAAAAAG